GGTGGGCTTTCTCCATAACTAGTCGCTAAAAACATCTGAAACGTTAACTTTTATTTTGCTGAAATCCTTTTTTTGAGACGAATTCGAAACTGTTCTAGCACAAGATACTTAGTTGTAATGCCTTATTTGTTTACAAATGAGCTATCTATGCTTAGTAAATAGTGTCAATTATGTGACATTCCATATAATTTTCGTATTATTTTGCCTAGTACTTATTACTTTTATCACGTTTTTAGATCCATCTTTATTCTTTTATGATAACCACGTTTGTAGAATAATAACGATTTATCCTTTGATCTTATTAAGGAGTCAAGTATGACTATCTTAAGCCTGCTGATGTTAAACGCATCAGAATTTCTGATGGTGCCATCCGCGAAGCTCCATACTTTGGTCTATGTATGATTGCGTTCAGCTTTCGTTTTTCATATGTTATGCGTTGTCAAGCCTCAACATGCTGCTAGTCTCATTGTATCATAAACAAAATGTCTTCAAGTTTTAGCAGAAATCAAATGAATCTATTCTGATAGTTGTATCAGCATAAATTTTCCATTAGTGTCAGGTAATCTACATTAAGGACAATTTTTAAATGAACTTAAGGCATGTCAAATTTGTTGAGCTGAGTTTCTTGTCGCATAAGCACATTGCTCAGAGTAATATTACTATGCAAATACTTGATACAAATTAATATTTTATTCATCTCCAACTGATTTGGTTGCCTTGTAGTAGATGCACTCGTAAGTTGTCTTGAATTCTTGCCTCCTGGTTCTTTGAGTTTCAGCTATTTTTCATGTCCGAAACAGCAGAAATAAGCAGATAAGATTCTAAATGATGTCTCATTTTATTTTTATTTATTCTGTTTTTAGACTGGGTCTGCTGGTACATGCATGGTGTATATTCTAAGTGCTACTTCTTCATCCGAGAGTTTAATTTGCTTGTGCTCAGGATCTTCCGCTTAATAGGTTGCTTACACGATCATTGATTAAACGAATGACAATGTTAAACAATCTGAACTTATTA